ACAATAAAAACTTGAGAAATGACCATCACATACACATGACAATCTAGGGCACTCATATCACAATTATTGTTAATTAGAAGGTGTATAGTGCACCAGCTTCTTACAATTATGGCCAATTAGTCGGGGTTTAAAGTTGCTCCTTCTTCATACTGATTGTGTTGACCTCAACCACTCATAGCTTATTACATTTCACAGCCAGCTACTTTAAAATTGAAAGGTTGTTGAGCATGTCAATATCAACTAAATCAGGTGATAGTAGGCTGTTGTGCAGAACCAGTTCAGTGTTTTTCACCTTTTCATCCCACACTAGCTTTGCATTAAACCCAATTCACAATGCTGTCTCTCTTCCTATGAACACTCATTCTTGCTATGCTCAGGGTGCAGCAGTTCTATCAAGCAGCAACTGTTTGATGCACATTTCTTCAGGGTCTTGCACTGTATTGACTGGTGGGTATCCAACATGTGTTTATTGCTACAACTCTACTTTCAATGTCTAGGAGATACTCCACAAGGGAGCTTCTTCACTGCTGCAAAATTTCTCCTTGATTTCAATCAGCGGGTATCTATCACATGTTGATGTAGTTGGCACTGGGAATCCAAGATCTGTGTACCCTTTTCACTCTTTACTTTTGGATTTCTCTCTCAGTAATGCCTGGAAGGTACCAGAATTCAACTTCCAATTTTGTGCCGGCTAATTTTTGCTTAGAGTTTTAGGATGAGGATGGCAATTATGGGTGTCTCACCAAGCTGGAGTCAGATGGTGTTCAAGGCCTTTCTCATGCCACAAAAAATATTTTCCATGTTTTATTTCTTAATATCACTTCTCAATTCCTCAGGTAAATTGCTCACACTTACAGATTTTGATAGATTTATGTTTTTAAAATACTGTTTTGTCACTTTGAAGGCTGCCATTCACTATTTCTGCCAGCTCCAGTAAGGGGGGACCACTAATTAAGAATATACACCCAAGTAGTTCTTGCAGAAAAAAAAGAAAAAAATCTCAAATATTTTGCCCTTATGATATGAAAGTATGCAAGGAAAAGTATTGGAAACAGTAAAAGAAGACTTCTTATGCAGGGGCATCAATAGGGGGACAAAATCCCCCCAAGACCCTGTCTGACCAAATTACACCTATATGGGTCCAGTTATAGCTTAAAAATGCCCCTAGAATAGTTCATTTTCTAAATTTTCATTTGCTTTGCTCACCTACCCCCCTCCCCTAGAAAAAGATGAAATGATCCCATTTTTCTTAAGTAGGCACAAATAGCTACAAATTTAGGATATATGGGAACTTTTGGACATGGGAGCAATATGTAATAAGACAAACACAAAAATGGGTTTCCTATCATATGTGTGTCACAGCTACAAACTCTCCATCATCAAATGTGCATGTAACAGTTATCAGGTTCAGGAAATGCATTACTGATGGATACCTCATGCCTCTATGAAACTAGAAACTCCACTACACTCATTTTATGATCAATAAAAATACACATATAACAGGTTATAACAATTGACAACAGGATGTTATTGTTAATGATAATTATTTGATACATATTTGACAAATTGGTGATGATAATTGCTTGGATGTATTTTGACTTAATGCATTTAAGCAATAGACACCAATTTCTAAAAGGCATCTTCTCCAGATTAAAGAAAAAAATATGCATACCTCTAAATATTAAAAAAATATAATAAACACTCAATAAATTTAGAAACCTAAAATCCTTAATTTCTCAGATATAATGTAGTAACATCACTAGTAGGAACAAAATAAGATACACTGACATGTGATATGAGTATAGGAATATCCGAAGGGGAACACTTGCAGTAATATGCTACCAATCAATCCTTCAAATGAGGGAACTGACTGTTTCAACACTAAAAATCTCTGACTCCTCAGAACATAATCAGTGAGCATAACTATTATGCAATACTGGAACAGCCAAATGTACTCTTAACTTCTGTTAAATCAACATCTTGGCATGGCTGAAGGAATCCTCTTCCTTGTTGTGACACTGGTCTCTTAATAGTGGCATTAACATTCAAGAGACAAGAGTGACAGATATCAAGAGACCCATCACAACAAATGGAAAAAAATTATGACAGTAATTCAAAATATATACTACATATTTCCCCCATATCATGTCCTTCCATATGAACTGTAACACCTTTCTGGAATATCTTACTACCATCTTTAGTAATATCTTGGAGAGAAGGGAATACCTCTTCCTGCAGTTTAGAAAGAGGCAACATCAAAAAATGGTTAGAATGCAGCTTAGGCATTATTCTAAAGATATGCAGGGATTCCAGAGATGCAACTCAGGAAAAGGAAATAGTAATTTCTACTTTAGCGCATTCAACAGTATTTGGTTTAATCAGAGATACTTTCAGGACTGTATTAGGGGTTTTAGTGGTTGTGTATGGTATATCGCCTGTTATCAAAATAGGTGGAGAACGTGAAATGGAGGCAGACACTTGGCCAGCAACAAATGTTTCCAGAAAAAGTCAGTACAAAAACCATGCTTCTGGAAAAGAGCAGCACATTGGAAGGAAAAGGCACACGAGAGAGAGAGAGAAAACACTAGGCCTGTGCCTCACCTCGCTTGTGGAGTCGCCGACAGCGCCCTGAGAAGCCAAGGTGATCATGAGATCATTTTATATGGTTTACTTGTAAGCTCGATTACATTTCTTACTTGTTACACTCTCATAATTAAATCTGAGGTTTGCTTGAACCATGAATTTTACTTACCCCAAAACAACAAGTTTTATGACCATGAGGACCCTTTCCTACTGTTCCCTCACAACCCATGTTCAGGTTGCCATCTTGGATGGAATGTATTTTACTGGCAAGATAAGAGTGCGAAACAGCTTCAGTCATTTTTCTGGATCCACAATTCATGTTTAACCATCCAATCTTTCCTTCGCTTCAAGGCCCTGGCTACTCTGGGAGGGCCCGCTGTCTTAGGGAAAATGAAAACCAGTGGCAAAGTTCTGACTGTCCTGGTCAACACATAAATGTTTATTAAAACAGAGACTCCTACCCTATCTCCCGCCTCTTATATCAGCAATCGGCTTTGAATCAAAAGATGTTCTCTCCTATGAGTACTTAATTCTACCACTAAAGATACAAACTTTATGCAAAATTTTAGAGGAGGCTATTGCCTTGAAAAATATCAGCAAGACAAAATTATGAAGAGCGCTTTTGGTTTCCTCAAAAGGATCTCTTGAATTAAAATCTGCTACGTTTACACACAATTTTTGAAAACCACAAAAAAATATAAAACTAAATAAAAATACATATCAAAATGCAGCACTATAGCTACAAACTTATAGAAACTCATAATTTTTTTTTCTTTTTCTTTTTTTTTTTTCTTCTTCTTTACATAATCTTTTTATTTTCATTTTCCAACTGGAGCATGTGAAAATTCAACATCTCAAGGCTAAGTTTTGGGAGGGGGTAGAGAGACGTTCCAGCACTATAGCCGTAAACTTATAGAAACACAATTTTATTTTATTTTTACTTTTACTGTATGATCTTTATGCCCTTAGCTCTCTTCTGGGAGTAGATATATGAAATCATAAATTATTCATCTGCTCTGCTATGGTAGGAGTCACCTGATTTGGAGGAACATGCTAAAATTAAGTTGTCTTCTTCATCCTGAAAGATTTGGAGAACAATATAATGGTAATTTTTTTCTTTTAAACAACCATCCCATCTTACAATTACTATTCCTTGTTTCAATTATTGAGTATAATCTGCATGAATCTCTCGCTGTTTCCCATCTCAAATGATATAAAGAAAATACTGTTTATGGAATGACCGCACCCCTTTGAAAATAAGTTCCTATTGCAGCATTTTCCCCAAGTGAATGCTGTGGCCTTACTCTCTCTGCATTAATCTTAATCTTAATATCTTCATTTCTGATCTTATTCTTAACCTACGTTGATTACATGTAGCAGAGACTATTGTTTCTCCCTTTCTTAATAAGAGTATTAGCAGATTTTCTTGTAAATGTTTACCAAAGGATTTCGTTTTGCATAACTTTCTTATGATCAACTTGCAAAGGAAATACATAGATGTAAAGTGTATTAAATGCTATTATTCTATCCATTATAGGCAAAACTCACCTTGTACCACATGGCTGTGTGAAACTGAAACTATACCAAAAATGTTACATCACAAACCACATGAGGACTTTAACCATTTCTGATTCACACTTTCCTTCACTTGAGAGAGCTTAATTAATCTCTTTTATTCTAACGTATGTTCTTGCAAAGAATATACTGTTTTTTAATTCTTACCAACAACTTTCACATCAACCCTTTAAATAACATACTAGTCAAAAGGTCTGTATCCACTGGCATTACTAGGGCCATCAGATCCATCAGAAAACTCGCTCCTTTAATGTTCTCTTCTAAACTGCTCAAATTACTATCAAGTACTGCCCTGACAGATAACATTCAATACTTGACCTACAAACCCCATTTAGATAAAATAATCTATCACAAAAAAATACAAATCCCATTGACAAGACCAACTAGTCCTCTAGGACACCCTCACAGAACTCAAAATCTTAGACCAAATTAGGAAGAAAAGGGAAAAAATCTACAGAGGTATTTCCTTCCCAGGCCAACCCCTTTTGGACACGACCTCGACCTTGTCTCGGCATTCCCGGGGTCACGCGAGGTCAGCCCAGGTCACGGGTCCCCTGGCATTTCACCCTCGGCGCCCGGACCCCAGTACCTCGCCTTCCAACCCGGGTCAAGTCGCAGGTGCGTGAGATAAGAGATAATAAGTTATAAGGAGGAGGTACGAGGGGGCCAGCCAACAGCACTTCCTGGCGGGCACTGGTCCCTCCTCTCCTGGCACTCACTGGCACTACCACACTCCTCCATGCCCGCCCACGCCCCGTGCCGCCTATGCCCTACGCCCCCGCCGTGCCTTAGCAGCCGTCCTACCTCGAGAAAAGGCATAAGAAGTAGGTAAAATGCCCTACCATGTGAAGTGGCCTCGTCCTCTTCCATGTTCTCACCATGCTTGTGACACTCTCCCGTGACACTCTCTGGCACGGCGAGGGGAGGTGTCAGGCGGTGTCATGTCGCCTTATGCTGGGAATCACGGATCTCTTGGTTTATTAATGGGTCTGGAGATATTAAGAATATCAATGAGTGAGTCTTGTGATTTTTCCCCTCATCAATGTTTCGGATTTAAATATATTAAATTCCCGAATGCCATATTTGGATTTCAGTTCTTATGTCACTTATCAAGCCTCAGAATCCTTTTAGGTGGGACAAACAAACCTCTAAAAAATACACACTCAAAGACCCTCACCCAACGCTACTAACCAACACCGAAAATAATACACCATTGGAGAAAAGGAAATAATTCATCTAGAGGGGAAGGAAACCACGGGAGTGTATTAAGCCTGGGAGGACCGCTGGGTGTAAACAGTGCGAAAGGAAAGCTGTCAGTTTCCCCTTTTCTCTGGTGTTTTGAGGGGAAATGAAGCCGAAACGGGGGCGAAGAAAGACATAGGATAAAGAAGAAAAAGAGAGGATAGAAGTTTGGCTGTTCGCATTGCGTGTCCTATTCTGAAAAGGGGGTTATATTGGGAAATTTGCTGAGGAAGGTATGAGGACTTGAGAAAACATTTCGTTTTGAGTTGTAATGCTATTCCTTCGTTTTTTAAGGATTTTTTTTTTTTCAGTAAAGGGAAAGAATAGCTATTAGCACGGGCAACAAACAGACCTAGTAATGTTTGTACACAGATGAAGATGAAATTTAAAACATTCAAGCTAATTAAAATGATAAAAAAAGTCATGATATTTTGCATGTACATGAATTGGTAATTGTTCAGAATAGCTTTGTATGGCTGATTATAACATACTTTTGGTGGATTCCTCTCACGATTTACTACCCATGTAGACCAATTGGGCAGCGAATAGCAACTGCACCTAGCATAGAGCACATGATGAAAAATCATTGTTCGTTCCGACTCACTATGAGTACTTACACATTCGCTGTTTATCCAAGAATTTGAAGTTCTTTGGCATGAAAATGTCAACGAGTTGTGTAGCCACTGGTTGTTTGAACCACGATCTGGGAATATGTGAAGGGTTAGACCTTTCTTTCCCATCATATTGTGGTTTGAACAACAATGGTTACACAGCTCCTCAGCATTTTCACGACAAAGAATTTTAAATTCTTGGAATGGCACAGTGAATCCATAAGCATGCATAGTAATTTTTTGAACGAAAGAGGGTTTGCTTTCACGAAGTGCTTTTTGTAAGGTGCAGTAATTGGTCATCGGAATCGGTAACTCATTACAAGGTCTAAATAACTTATATAGACCTTCATTCAATGTTAGGCCAGTTCGAAGGATTGTTGATCCAGATTTTGACAGTTAGACAATATGGACACTCTTTTAGGTGCACAGTTTCTAGTTTCACTACATAATGCTTTTTCACTCAGTTTTTTAACATAAAGTATTCATACAACATTTTCTCTCATGATAATAACATAACTT